GCTCCCGCCGCAGAGCGCGCTGCCGCTCGCGTGCTCTGCTGCTGGTTACGCGTCCTGCTTGAAATGTGAGGCAGAGCAGCTCAAAAGCATGCAGAGGTGGAAAAGACGATTGTGCAGCTGCCTGCTATTTCCCTGAAATAGTCCTCCAAAGGCTGACTGGTCTTATGTTTTAGAAGTTTAGATGACTTTGTTTCCAACAGTAAAAACCCAAAGGGTGCTTAACTGGCTTGTTTTGATACTATGATGCTTTTAAAGAACATTTACCATCTCTCTGCTTTGCGGTAGGGTTTGAGCAGTGTCATCTCTACTCCAGGTATTTCCGCAGGAACGCACCACACCAGGTATTCTTCGCAGGCGTGAACCATCTCCCCGTTGAGAATTTTGCCCCCTGCGAAGGGATGGGAAGAAGGAAAATTGGCTGTACCCTCCTGGAGTTGAGCTAGCAGGAGCTGTTGTGCCTGCTGTGCCAAGCCGTGCTAGGTGGTCTGCTGAGTTTTGCAGGAGCTGTTGGAAGGAGGAGAGGAGAGTCACCTGAGATTAGGTCATGGAAAATCCTGGAAGGAAAGCGGCGATCGCAAGCAGGAGCACGGACTCACCAGTTAGGGCATTGTCTGCGGAGTGCCGGCGGGGTTTTCTGTGCCTCCTGCACAGAGGTGTTGGCCCTCGCTGTACTGTGTATTTTTGCCACGATGCTTTTTGGTTTAAGCAGTTGGAATTTGCAAACTGAGTATTTCTGGCCCCCCTTGGTTTTTTCCAGCATTTCTCACTCAAGCCTGCCGTGAGGATCTGCTGCTGGTGCAAATGCCATGAAAAATGTCCTTGTTGCTTGGGTCCCCGTCCGCGTGCATTAAGGTCACTCAGCCTCCTGCCAGCACACTTCTAGCAGAAGCACAGGCGCAGCGGTTTGCAGACAGAGTTTGCGGCCCGTCTCCTTCTGACAGAGCTTGCTTCTGAGGATGCCCTGTTCGCAGGATGTGGAGATGCCTCTCTGGGACTGAGTATTTCCTTTTTTTCCCAATTGAGGTGAAAAACAAAGAAATGATTAATGAGGATTCCTTCTTTTTATGAGGAAAAAGCTTGCTTTTCTTGAACCCAGATTTCTTTACTCTCCTTCCAGTGCAAGTCCCAGCTGTGCGCCGGGGGTGGCAGGTTAATTAGCAGAGAATGGCATTAGTGCCCACGTAAGCTGATGGTTGACTGCCCGTAAGGTTAAGACCTTCCTTTTAATTTCTTTTTCGGGAATTATTAGCTCTTTGAATGATTTGACTTGGTTCGTAGAGCTGCCCACCATAACCGAAGTTTCCAGCTCATGTAGGGCGCTCTGGAAAGTCAAAATTTCCCATTCTTTTTCCCGTTGCCTGCATTCTGTCCTTGCTGGCGGCTGCCTTGGCCCTAAAGTTGTGAAACTCGACATCAGAGAAGCCGAAGGTTGTAAATTAGCATACAAGATTTACGTGGGATTTCTTGAATATCAGGTGGAAGCCTTGTTCCAAACCACCCGCCCGACTTGCAAGCAACCCTACTTGATCTGATTGCTGGTGTATTGACTCCAGCATGGAAATCACATGGCTGAAAAGCAAAGGGCAAACTTTTGGAGAGATCATTGTGTTCTGCTAAGCACAAGCAGTACGGTTGTAGCGTGTGAAGCAGGCCTAAGTCGTCGTATTTTGCAGCAGGTTGTTTGGAGGGACTGTGTTTTATACTGTATGAAGCAGATGTGCCGCTGTTAATGCTTGGTCTCCTTTTGTCTCAGTATGGAGAGAAGTTGCACGCCGTCCAGCTGGTTTCAGCCTTGCTCTTACTCTTCTTACCTCTCGTTTCTCCGATGCCTGTGTATCAGTTACTTGTTACGGGATTGTACGTGACTTCACTAGACTTGGCAAATTACTTAAACGCCATTTGTTTAGGACAGTTGGAGCGGATCACATTCCTCTAATCAGCTCTTTGTTCTTTCAGATTTTGGGTTCAGTAACATCTTCACACCTGGTCAGCTGCTTAAAACCTGGTGTGGGAGTCCTCCCTACGCTGCTCCAGAGCTCTTTGAAGGAAAGGAATACGATGGGCCAAAGGTTGACATTTGGGTATGCGATCAGCCTCTTTCTTTGATCTCATTTCTGCACTATTTGTTTGGCTTTGCTTCCTGAATACTTAGTACATGTCTCGGAGAAAAGCCCATGATATCGCGAAAAATGTTTTTTGGATAAATGCTTTTAGAATTTTATTCTGGCTACGATGCTGTGTGTTTTCTTCGTTGGGAGGCACGATGCCAAAAATCTTAGTTGCCCAGAAATGCATTTTAATTTAGTTTCCCAAAGATATGGTTTGCTTCATCGCTATTGAATGGCAAAGCACTTACTGCGGTAGGGCTTGATCTGGCAGAGCTGAAAGAGGCGACTTCAAGTGTCGCTCCCCGAGGATTTTGCAGAGAGCACTTCAGCGCAGAGCCTTGGGACGGTCTCCTCCGTGGCACTAGCCACGCAACGCGAAACCTGCGTTGCCCTGCAGCCCTGCCTTTTGGGTTGCCTGCTGTCCTCCCCTTCTCCTTGCGGGGCTCCCCGACCTCCGCCAGCCCAGCCAGAGGAGCAGGAGGGAAGGGTGGCATAGTTGGGTTTGAAATGGCCGTGCCGGCGGCCAGTTGGTGGAAGCTGTGTTTGGTCTGGGCGTGCAGGTTGCCCAGAGCCTCCTGCCGCAGTGGTGCAGCGGGGCTGTGGGCTTCTTTAAAGTTGGCTTCTGAGCCTGGTAAGAAGCCTAAATTAGGCTGGACAGAGGAATTGGGCTGGCTTGGGACTGAGACGTCGACAAGGTCCTTTCCAATGGGACTTGCTTTTTCTTTATTATTATTTTATTCCGTTTAAATGACATTGACCACAATTAACTGCAGTCTCCCAACCTCTCCCTCTAACGTTGCTGACGTGACCTTTGTTTTGGACGCAGAGTCTCGGCGTGGTGCTGTACGTGCTGGTCTGCGGTGCTCTGCCCTTCGACGGGAGCACGCTGCAGAACCTGCGGGCGAGGGTGCTCAGTGGGAAATTTCGCATTCCATTTTTCATGTCCACAGGTAAGGGGTGCGCGCACCGCGGTGCGCCTGCAGCGCTGCGCAGGCGCTGGTCGCGTCTCTGCTTACAGATTCTTTGGGCACTTAAATTGTAGTATACCGGTTGATTTTTGTGCCAGTGAAGTGGTATGCCAGCAAGCTTATCCGCTGGATGGTGGTTTGTCATGAAAGCTAAAATGAGTTCCGAATCTAGATTTTCAAAACCAAAATACTCTTACTTAAAATCTCAGCTTTCATGTATATAACTGTGCAAACGATAGCAAAACGTTAGCAAAGATATTTTCTTTCTAGATTTTGGGAAATGTGAAAGCTAAAAATGGAATAGTGATTTAGGACTATAGATGCTTTCACTATACCTGTTTTGGACAGCATTACGCATGTGAATTTCCAGCAACAGCCCCATCAGAGATGAATGTTTATGTTCTGTTTCTGCAAAAAATCCTTCTGAATGCTTTAGTAATAAATCTTCGTTTTGAAAAGTGTGATTAATTCTCAGATAAACCTAGCTTCACTTAAGAGTGAGTCATATGTAGGCTCTCGTTTGCTTGCTCTGAGATTAAGGAATAATTTTGCATGGGTTGCGTGGAGTTTCCCAGCTGAAAGCTTCCTGGCCTGCCGCCTTACTTTCTTGAATCCAGACTTTGATTTCTTTACTCTCCTTCCAGTGCAGGAAGAGGGTCTGTTTGTGCAGAAATTGCTTGCTAAAAACATGTGGCGCTTTTAAAGTGAGCCTAGATCCCACCCCAAACGGGGGAGAGCCTGAGCAGTCCCCCACGGTGGCAGCATACATGTAATACGATGGAGAAATCATTCACGGTGAGCTGTTGCTAAGTGGGGAGCGTTCAGAGGATACTTTGCCCTTCAAGCCCCAAAAGCCAGCCGTGTCCCTTGGCCAGCGCCGGCGAGGGACAGGGTGACAGTGTGCCACGTAGGGGCTCTGGCAAACAGCATAGGGGCCCAGTGGCCTGGGTGGCTTCTCCCCTAGCTTGGGGAAACCAAATGTCTGCAGCAAAGTGGCACGTTGGGGACTGAACGGGTGCGAAGTGCAGAAGGAGAAGCAATATTTCTGCTACGTATGACTTCCTACAGAGAAGCGCGTCGCTTTGAAAGAAAAAAGGCGCGAGGCTGCCTCCTGCAGAAGTCGCGTCCCTCCCTGCAGGTTACCCAGCCCCTCTCTTCCCTTGCAGAATGTGAACATCTGATCCGCCACATGCTGGTCTTGGACCCGAGCAAGCGGCTCTCCATGGAGCAGATCTGCAAACACAAGTGGATGAAGCTCGGGGAGGCTGATGCGGAGTTTGACAGGGTGAGAAGCGGAAGCGAGATGGTGCACGAGCTGGGTCTGCTCGGTGCCTGCCGCGCTGCGAACGGGCTGCGGGCATGTAGTGCTGCAGTGTTCACTTTGGCTGTTTGCGAACTCTTGTTCTGAGTGCTGGTGTGCCACCTTCCCGCTTTCTGCGCCTCCTGGTCTTGCTTTCTGCATCGCTCCTCATCTGCGTATATTTTTATATCTTTCCCCCTTGGCGTTGAGAGCCTAAGGCACTAGATTTTTGCATTGGTGTGCCATCAGCCTTCAAAGCTCATGCCAGCTTGCAGCTGGAGCCTGGCGCGTTGGTTCTTCAGAGCACCGTGAGTCATCAGTGTGCCTTTGGGAGTGTCGGCACTGAAGCCTGTGTCTGTGCTCTTACAGCTGATAGCAGAGTGTCAGCACCTGAAGACCGAGAGGCAGATGGAGCCGCTGAATGAGGATGTGTTGCTGGCGATGGCGGACATGGGGCTGGACAAGGAGCGCACAATCCAGGTAAGACACCACAGCCGACAGCCACGTCCTGCCTGCTCACGCTGGAGAACAAATGGCCGTGTTTGTTGCTTATCACCTCTAATAACTGAGCAACCTCAGCGCAGTAGAGAGTGTGTTTTATTGCTTGACAAAAAGAACTGACCGCTTTTTCCTCTTCCTATTCTAGTCATTAAGAGCCGATGCTTATGATCACTACAGTGCAATCTACAGCCTGCTCTGCGACCGTCTGAAGAGACACAAGAATCTGCGCATTGCAGCATCTCCGAGTATGCCACGGCCCATGACCTTCCCCACCTCTGCTAACATCCAGGTGGGTCCTGCTTGCATAGTGTCCTTCCGGCCCTGGAAGGCTGGCTGGTCCCGTACCTGCTCAACTCAGACTTGCTTGTGAGTGTCCTCATCCCGGCAGGAGTGTCAAAACGTTCTTTGTCCGAGAACTTCAGGTGTATTTAGGGTGCCGTAAGCCTGAGAATAGGAGCAGTTTGTTCATTGGCTGTGGGTTTAGTGAATGCTCTTCAGACGAAGTCCCATGTTAGCTTAGTGACAGAGGAGGCAGCAAGGTGAGGGTTACTGGTTGGGGGCTAGAGTTTGCAGACTAGGACTGCTGTGCAGTGCTGCTTCTTCAATTTGTGCTGCTGTCCAAGAAATGAGTATTTGCTTTAAGAGAGGCCGGGTCATAAGGGAAGCGGAAGAGGTGCTGACCCTGCCTGAGCAGAAGTGAGGAGGGGAAATGAGGCAACTTCTTGAGAATTAAGAATAAACAGGTCTTTGCTGGCTCCAGGGTAACCTCCCTATTCCCAGGAGGTTAGGTCTGCGCACTGGTGTTAATCCGGCAGGGTTTGTAAAGGGGTTGTAGGAGATGCTAGCTTCATGTCTTCTGATTTTGCTATCTCTGCTCAGCAGACAGAACAGACAGGCAATACCATGAGCATCAACGTGCCACAAGTCCAGCTCATCAACCCTGAAAACCAAATTGTAGAGGTGAGCTACTCCCCTTGCTGGCCCCTGCAAGTTCTTCTCCTGGGCTTGCATTGAAGCCTTTTGCTTGGTCCTCACACTGTATTTCAACACCTGCAATGTTTTGCCTGCCCAGACTGACGGAACGATGAACTTGGACAGCGATGAAGGGGAAGAGCCGTCACCTGAAGCTCTGGTCCGTTACCTTTCCATGAGAAGGCACACAGTTGGAGTAGCTGACCCACGGTTAGTATTGGGCGCTCAACTCCCCGATGGAGTATTAAGGGAACTTGAAGATTTACTCCTAGCACATGACTTGGGTCCTTCTGAGATATCGCAGATATTTATTCATGTGCTACATTGGCAGATCAGAGGCTAATGCCTTAAAGGGACTTCTGGGCTCTGTGGTAGAGAAGAGTTGATACCTTTTGGGCTGTCAGCGGTCTCCAGTTTCTGGGCTGGGAAATAAATACACTTCACAGCATGCCCCTCGGTCCCAGGCCTCTGCTTCACTCTAGCCAGACCAGGTGGTGATGAGCACATGTATCTGTATCATAGCTGGTATCAAACCTTTGGTTTCCCGCTCCTGCTGTGAGCGGCTTGGAGTTATTTCTGCAAACTTCATTTTTGCTAGCTAGAGAAAGAAATTCAAGGTATCTCTTTAGTAAAAGTCATCTTTTAAACTGCCTAGTGCCATTGCACGACTTGGTTAATATTTCAGCTGAGGATGAGGATGGGATTCTTTCCTTTTCTTCTTCCTGAGTAGCTCTGTGTAAGCTAAGCAGTGTTGACTGGTGGGCAAGCCAATCTCTCACCCAGGCTGCACTGCTGTCGTGTCCTGGCTGAAGTTTTTTTTGTGATAAATGTGATCGAGGTTAATGCAAAGAGCTACTTCTGGCAAATCTCAGCTTGGAGGGGAAAAAAGGACAAACGAAAACCAAAGAGTGGCTTGGCTACTACTGTTTTCCAGAGCAGTAAGAAGCCTTTTCTGAAGGGAAGCTGAGCTCACTGGCCCTGTGGGTGGTTCTCTTCACGTCGTTGCTAATTTGCCTGTCTGTAAATGTGATTGCACAGGACGGAAGTCATGGAAGATCTGCAGAAGCTCCTGCCTGGCTTCCCCCGTGTCGCTCCTCAGGCTCCATTCCTGCAGGTGACTCCGAATGTGAACTTCATGCACAATGTGCTGCCTAGGCAGAACCTGCAGCCCACGGGTCAGCTGGAGTACAAGGTACTGACCGGCGCTCGCGCTCCCTGCTGCAGTCTGTGCCCCACCGGCACGTGGGGATGCGTTGGTGCTCGCACTTGCTCGCTCTATTTTGCTGGTTTCTTAGACTCCATAAGCTTCAAGGCTTGCCCTCTTGCTGTCTCTTTAGGTCTGATTCTAGTTGGTTATTTAAAAAGGTGAAGAACGAAAGAACACAGCAGTATGAAATGAATTACTGGGCTGGGGAGAAAGAGGACTGCGCTGCCTGGCTTTGGAGCTGCGGGTTGCAGCCTGCCTGGCAACTAAAGCAGAGCGCAGGGAAATGGAGGGTTAAACCCTACTCTTCCACTGACACTGCCTCTCTCTGCCCCACTTCAGCTCTGAGGTGTTGTGATTTACTCCCTCCTCTCTCCAGAAGCCCAGAAGGCTGGTCTTCTCTCATGCCAGTGTCTGGGTTTGTGACCTTAGTGCTCGGTATCGGAAGGATCCGCTACGGGGCCAATAACTGCGCTGTCTGTGCTTCCCAGGAGCAGTCCTTGCTGCAGCCCCCCACCCTGCAGCTGCTGAACGGCATGGGCCCTCTGGGGCGGCGGGCATCGGATGGCGGAGCTAACATCCAGTTACACGCACAGCAACTGCTGAAACGTCCTCGAGGGCCGTCCCCGCTCGTCACTATGACGCCAGTAAGTAGCAAAAGGAAAGAGGAGAATTGGTGGCATGTTTATAAATACCTTCTCCGGCAGGCAGAGGTGACTGCCTCCAGCTCCTAGCAGGCAGAGGAGCACTCTGGAAGCACTGCAGGGAGTGTGCCCGCTTGCTTCCCAAGGTTCACCCTCGCTGGAGCGTCAGGGTGCTCTGTCCCTTTGCAGGAGAGTTGCTGTGCTCTCCCTGCTGTAGCTAGCAGCTGAGGTGGTTTTCCTCTTCAGAACTGACAAAGCGTTTGTGAATTTTCTTTTTTTACGGTTGCTTTTCTTCTCCTTTGCTGACCTAATAGGGAAAACTAAAACGTCCATCTTGGGTGTTCATGTACATTCTTCCTTGAGGCATTTGTATCACTGAATTTTCCTGGTAGCCCCAAAAGAAGTGGCAACCTTGTACAGGCAGTTCTGTTTGGGGGAGGAATGTCGGAAGGGGTCCTTGGTGCTGTGGAGGAGCTGGCAGATATTCCAGTTTGGGAAGGTCGGGTGTCTGCTGTGCGGCTGGGACCATGCTGGTGGCCTTCTGGAACTCGTGGCTTCTCTTCTCTCTGCAGGCTGTCCCAGCTGTCACCCCTGTGGATGAGGAGAGCTCCGACGGGGAGCCAGATCAGGAAGCTGTGCAGAGGTAACCCCCAGTCTGTTAACATTTGCCCTTACTACCCTCAAAGAGGCTCACCCTGTGGTGTTCCACAGCAGAATTAAAACACGAGCAACCGCATCACAGGCAACGGTGTTGATTACAGCGAAGGCTTGACATTCCTCTAGTTTCTGTGGGTGTAGATTACTGTAGGCAGTTACTCCTCTGACACTACTAGGGGCTTACAAAGCTCGATTCCCCCTGAAATGGGTAGCTATGTGAGCAGTAGGTTCTCCAGAAACTCTGAAACTGCTAAATTCCTTTGCTTAGTGTGCACCAGCATGCAATCCACACTAACCTGCAAAATGAGTGCTAAGTGATTCACCCCTCCCTGCTGAGCGATGGAGGTAGGAGGATCTCATCTGTGGCCTTGGGTGTCAATGCAGCTTTTGTATCAAGACACGCAGTAAACATCCAACTCTGATGCCTTAAAGTGAGCTTGCTGGAAATATGGGTACCTCCTGCTTCTAATTTTAGCAGTAGGCCTTAAAATAGTCTGCTCCAGTAAGGAAAGGATTATTAGATACCAGCCTGGAAACTTCTGTTCTCTTTGTCTGCTCCAAACACGTACTGGGAAGCGGGTAGAATATGCTTGTACTTTCTCAATCCGTGAAAACACTAACCGTGTCCTTGCTAACATTTTCTTAGTGGCTTTTGCGTAGTTTCTTCTCTGCTAACCAGCTGGTGCACTACGTGTGGTGGGTGTGGTTACGGAGTGCTCCTGCTTCTTACCTCAAACTCGAAAAGTTTTCTGGATTCCCCCCAAGTTTGTACAGGCCACCACCTGGAGCAAGGTAGCGTCCCCTCGGGGGCTGCGCTTGGGAGAAGGATTCAAACTGGGGGTTGGTTGCAGGCAGAGGAACCCTGGGGTGGGCGGAGGTCGTAGCCCGGAGCCTTTGCCAGCTCTTCTCCTTTCAGCGCTCCGGAGCGAAGCAGGGATTTGAACAGTGGGTGTGCACAGTGACAGATTGTGCAGAGTGTGCGCTGAGACTCCTTTTGCCTACCTGAGCTTAGAAGAAAGCCAAAGCTGCTACCTGCGAAAGATCTCGCTTCCAGCCCTACCGTAGCTGACACGGCCCTTCAGCAGAGCACATCTTGTGTTTTCTGCGTAGCCTTATACTCTAGTTCTTCACGGCCCGCATCTTTGCTCACGCTCGCAGTATTTTCCAGCTTCACGAGCTGCTGTTCATCCACTGAGCCGCGGTGCTGGGAAGGTACGCACTCATGGCCTGCCCCAGCTGCGGGGGAGCACGATGAAAGAAATTGAGGCAAAGTCGCAGTGTTGAGCAGGTGAAGAGCGTGCACCTCCAGGCACTGCAGGCTGCGTTCAGCCCCTGTTAAGCTGCTGCACCCTGTCTGTGTGCTGTCCTCCCTTGCAGGGCTCAGGAGCACAGACTCCGTTACACAGCTCTGCTGCCTAGCTATTAAAAGCTGTAATTTAGGGCCCGTAAGGTCCACTGACAACACCTCGGATGGTAGACAGTCTTTCTGACTGTGCAAATCGGATAAGTCTGATTCTTGGCAAGGAGATGCCTGGACATCCTACCTGGCCAGATTTTCACCTCTCCTATTCTAAAACCTAAGGTTTCAGTTGAGTCTTTTAAGTTAAAGCATTAGCTCAGCTGGAAACATTTTGAAACCCATGTGCAGTATTTTGTAGGTTGCAAGCTGCTGAAAGGTTCAGGTCCCGCTGAAAGGCAAGTCTCCTTGGAGCCGTAGGTCACTTTGCTGCTCTCGACAGTGCTGCCCTGAGTCCCTTCATGCCACTTGTTCTTCTTCCACCAGATGGCCCAGAAGAAGCCCCGTTCAGGTTGTGTGTTAACGAGCTCTCCGCCCCCTTATGTTGCAACATGTCAGTAGTCATCAGAGTAGAAGGGTAAATAGCATTAGCATCAGGGAGAGATGCAAATATTTAGCTTCTCAGAACACGGCTCCAAATGTGCTGTATGCAGCCACTAGTGAGCAGTTTTTGCCCTTCTTAATCTGACCTTGAAAACAGAGCATGGTCTTTTCTCTGTTCCAGGGAACAGTCACATCTCCTTTGAGCTTTGGGAAACTTTCTTCCACCCGAAACACTGTTATAGCTCATGATTGGATTGTTCCCTGGAGGTCTGAAATAAAATGGTCTTCGCAAACCGCAACCGTAAAGCTCTTTGGGAAACTTTCCCCGTCTGCATCAAATGATTCTTAAACAGCTAATGGCACAGGCTTTGGCAAGTTACCACAATGCTAAGCACTCTTCATTCTGTTAACTTGCTGTCTTCTGCTTAAGTGGCTTCAGTAGCTAGTGAAGAGAGGCTGGGTCTGGAGGAGGCAACAACTTTATTGCTTGCTGCCCTTCTGTGCTTCACTGGTTGAAGTTGCAGGGAGCCTTAGCAGGGGGAAGGAGTGAAGGTGATAATCCCCTGTTAGCGTCCCTGGTGTCGCTGGCCAAGTGATCTTTGTCACAGTTAACGCAGCTGCCTCATTGCTGCTGGCTCACAAGAGGAGAAATAGTTGAGTTCGTGAGCGGGCATTCATCCCACCTGGCCTTGAGCGGGTAAAGCGCTAGCCCCTCTGCTTGTCACAAGCCAGGGCGTCCCGGGTAGGCGCTTCGTTCGTTATCTCTTCTGGCTCTGTGGCCCCGGCTGCTCTGAGCATCGCGCCACACACTCCACAGCGGCTCCAGCCAGTAACCAGCTGTTCAGGGCAGCAGCTGTCGGAGCTGTGTGGCCCTTCGTCGCATCCTTGCGAAAGCAGAGGCTCCTAGTTTTGCCCTGCGCGCTCCCCCGGCCTTCAGAGGGTTTGCAAAAGAACTGAAGTCTCTTAGTTCCAGTGCAGAGGGGGCTTTGGTTTAAGCTGCTGCCTGCTCGCTTCCCCTCGCCGGCTTTGCCCTGCGCATCGCTGGGCGATTCCCGATTCCCCGGGGAGCGGAGCAGGGACTAGATGGCGCACGTGGACCGGGCTGAGCACCCTCCCTGGCCCAGCGCCCTTCCTCCTGCTCCCCAGGCAGCCGGAGGCTCTCCCCACCCGTAATCTCTGGTGGGGTGGCCCTCGTGCACCCTTCCCCTGCCGTGACAAGCTGGCCGCTGCTCACGGCTGGGCCCCAGGCGACCCAGGGTAGGTCTGAAGTGCAAAGGCCATCCTGCAAGGGCGCAGCTGAGCAGCAGCTCTGCTCTGCGCCCGTTCTCCGGCCGGCTCTTGCTAGGATTATCTGTGACTCGTCTCTTGGCTCCATGCATGCAGCAGGCTTCCCTGTGGCTCACTGGGGCCTTGGGAGAGGGAGGCAGACCTGCTGTGGTGGAGTGAGTCCACGCTGAGGGCCGGGAGTCACCTGGGTATTCCCAAAGGGATATACCGGCATTCCCCTTGAGATGAAACGTGGCTTTCCCTGCTGGGAAGAGCAAACGGCTGCTCTTTCTTTCTGAGGCTGGCAGTAGCACACAAGCAGCTGAACCTACACGTGTCCCCTAAGCGCTGAAGAGCCAGTGATGTGACGGGCACGGGCAGCTTGTCCGTGGCGTGCCTCTCCCCGGTTGGTTCTGAGCACTGCAGCAAGCACTCTTCCTTCCCATTTACTCTGGATTATCTAACGCTCCCTGTTTTTGGAGTACTCCCATCAGTCTCTTATAAAATGTGCTCCTGCTTGTTGCAGATACTTGGCAAATAGGTCAAAAAGGCACACTCTGGCAATGACCAACCCTACAGCTGAAATCCCTCCAGACTTGCAGAGGCAGCTAGGACAGCAGTCCTTCCGACCCCGGGCTTGGGCTCCACACCTGGTACCCGATCAGCACCGGTGAGTAATGGCACCGGCCGTTCGGGCAGCTTTGCGCCAGGAAACCTGCTCAGATGTCGTCTGAATGGAGCACTGAGGACATCCTGCTTGGCAGGGAGGGGTGAGGAGGAGGAGAGGAACAAGTATGAAAACCAGACCCACAGAGCGGAGGGTGTCTGACCGCGCTGGGGACGCTGGAGTTCTGCGCCGGCGCGGGCTCCGTGCCTGCGGATACAAGCAAGGCTGGGGCAGGAATCAGCTGGCTCTTCCCCTCCAGTGCCGTTTTTGTGGCTGGAGATGATTTGCCAGAATGGCTGCCGTCACATAAGGGTTGGGAATAAGCTATTCATTTTAGAGGAAAGCTTTTCTCTGTTGTAATGGTAGGCGTCAAGGTAGCAGCAGATAGCAGATTTTCTACAGAACGTTTTTAGAGGCAGACGCAGGCAAAAGACTGCACCAAGAGTCATCTACGCCAGAGCTTAAAAACCTCACTGTTCTGCACCAGAGTTGTGTGTTTTGACTGCAAAGTCTCTTTGCAAAGCTCCTCAAGAGTCATGTTATTTCTGATCTGAACCCCTGATGGGAATGATGTGGGGAAAGGAAGCCGGGGTGGGAAGAAAACAAATCACGGTGTCTGGGAAAGAGGGAACCTCTGCAGATAGGACCCACTCAAAATGTGCAGGTGGGGCAGTCCTGGTGGAGAGGTGTGTTAATTTGACACGGAGTCCTTGCCACAGGGGCAAACCGGCGATGCTAACGCCACAGAGGGAGCTTAAAAACCGGCGCTCTGAACCTCTCAGTGCTGAGAGGTGCAAACCAGCTGCCAAGTGCAGAGTTTGCTGCCTGTCGGCCTCGACTGTTGAGAGAGCAGTCGCCTACCAGGCTAGATCGTGCTCGCGTTCAGTCTTTCAGCCAGCTCACTCTGGCAAGCTTCACAAAGCGCTTTTTATTGTAGCCAGATACCTGCTGAGCTGAGCACTGATGTAATCAGCACAGACAGGTGAACTCTGAGCAGACTGAGACAGTGCTAGTGCCACGCTGGAACTCCAGAAAAACCAAGATAAGCACCTCTATACCCTGAAGTTACTCCCTCACAGAGGTGCTTGGGGGATGGGAAGAGGAGGAGGGGAAAGATTTCTAGGGTCACAGCTTGATAGGAAGAGGAGTGCAGCTTGCAAAACAACCAGAATGTGCTGTGTCCTGCTTTAAGGATTGCTTCAAATTGTAAAGGTAAGCTGGGTCCCTCACGTGCTGCAGGAATTGATTTTTTTTTTTTTTTTTTAAAACAAGACTGTTAAAACACACTTAGCCTGTAAATACTCCTCTGCCTCTTGGCTTTGGAGTCCTGAGGCTGTTGCATCACGAACAGGGTGGTATCTGCTCATTCCACCCTGGTGTCGTAATGCGCTGTGAGCCTGCCTCATGTTTTACCTTTGAAATCACGGAAACTTCATCTGACCGTGGCCTGAAGAGATTGCCCCGTGTTGTGTCCAAGACACACATGGCACAGAAACCATTAGCAGTCTTGTGTCACCACGTAAACAGCCCTCAGTTACTGAATGGCAGGTGGGTTTTATTTTAGTACTTAACATATTTTAAGCCATCTTCTTACGTAGCACCCGGTTTTGGTCACGATAACTTAGTAGCTGAAAGCGGAACTGAAGTACGACAATTGTACAAGGTGGTACAGTTCTGCCTCAGTCCTGATGGAGAGGTGTGTTAATTTGAGCACGAAGCCCTTGCCACAGGGGCAAGCCGGTGATGCTAACGGGTTTGGGAGCCTCAGCGTAGTTTTATCTGTGGCTTCTGCTTTCCATCAACACAACAGGAGAGGGATCAGGATGATGGATGGGATAGCATCAAAAGGCAGGGGCAGGGCTCTGTCCTTGGAAGAAAGTTGTGTGTCATCTACAGAAACTGAAGTACATCCTGCTAAGGCAGACCAAGTGACAGGAACCAAACCCAGCGTGCTGGAAACGGTCCAGCATCAGTCACCCTCCGATAAGGGCGAGCCTCTCCAGGAGAAATAGTTTCACTTCTTGGAAAAGGCTTCAGTAAAGAGCCGTGTTCAGAGTAGCCACGGCAGCAACGTGCCCGCAGTCACGCCGTTCGGGACCGCACCGGTGTGCGGCCAGATGGGCTCCCGTTGGGTTTAGCGCCAGGGTGTCGGAGGTGCCGTAAAGACCGCACCTCCGTGGCCTTCTCGCAGACAAAGGCCGCGGTTGGAGCCTGCGCCGTTAAGTGTTGTTTGCTGGGTTTATAGATGGCATTTGCACAGAAACCATCAGGGCAGGCAGAGAGACCCGATTCTGTTTGTTGTAAGGCACGTTGTGAGGTGTGTACGGAAAGCTAGCTTTGCTAATGATAACACAGGTTGCACCTAATGGCCGGGCGGGAGCTTAGTGCTTGACGCGGATAATGGGGAGCCCCAACTTTGGGAGAGATCAGCTCCTGAAAAAAAAATCTGGCTCCCTCTGATGGTGAAGAAGAAACCTCATTGTGAAGGGAAAGTGCTTGTAGCTCTTTGGGCAGAGTTGCCTCGGTACTGGCTATGTCTGCTTTTCAAATGTACCCATTCTGGTGGCCCAGTGCCAAGCATCCAGGCAACTGGGAGTCTCTGGATGTGAAGTGACAGCTCGGTTAATGCATTAGAAAGATTTCCCCTACTGTGCAGAGTTACGTTCCTGCCCCCTTTTTTTTAATTCGCTGCATCTCTAAGCACGGATGCCAGCCCCCCTCCCTGCTCAGAGGCCACAGAACACGTCAGGCTCCTTTCTCCGTGTGCCCCTCCTGTTTTCCACAGGCATCAGCTGTAGTCAGGGGCCCTGGGGAGCGGGAAGGCTCAGGAAGGGGCTACTGAAGAGGCGAATTTACCTTTTTAGGCTGCTGAGTGGTTTCTGTAAACCTTTTCCATCTGAGGGATCGATGCATCCGTACGGATGGACAATGGGTTGCTGCCCATCTGGAATCTGGTTTGTGGCTGAGTCGTCTCCAACCTTAAAACACATCTATCTGCCCAGGCACCGAGGATGCTCGGTAATCCTGTTTCCTGTTCACGGTGACGATGGCACTTTATTTCTTGATCTAAAACATGATTGATTCTGGGTGAGTGGGCAGGTAGAACTTGGCACGGCTGGTGTAAATTAAATGTCTCTGTACCGGAGTTTGTTTTTTAGCTGGCATCGCTAACCCACTTCCCCATGTGTTCAGTTCTATTTACAAGGACTCAAATACTCTGCACCTCCCCACCGAACGCTTCTCCCCGGTTCGGCGCTTTTCTGATGGTGCTGCCAGCATCCAGGCTTTCAAAGCCCACCTGGAGAAGATGGGCAATAACAGTAGCATCAAACAGCTTCAGCAGGTAAAAGGGAGGGGTGGGGGGCCTCAAAAGAGCCTCTGCAAGGGCTTTTTATTGTCTCTGCCTTGCAGCGTCAGGAAGCAAAAGGTGAAATCTTTACCGCTAGTGGCTGCGGACACACAGTGGCTTTCCGGCTGAGGAGCTGTTCCCCTCCGTGTGCCTGCAGCAACCCTGCCGAGTGTCCTCTAAATGCACGTGCTGTTCACCTGCACGCCGGGAGCACTGGGGGCTTCCAGCCCCTCTTTCTGGGGAGCAAACCACGTGCTGTGCCCGCGCGTGGGCTGTTCCGCCTGCCCTCACGGGTCCCACCGGCCCTGTCAGAGCTGCTGCTCTCCCACAGTTCTTGCGGCAGCAAAGTTTTGGGGCTGTTCCAGGGTGTCCCGGGAAAAGGGCAGCTCCTACCGCCAGAGCTTGGAACGTTTTGTATGCGATTCCCGACACAGCCAGTGCATGTCTTGTCGAGGGCT